AGTGTCGCGTGACTTCTGCTGTCGTAACAATATAAAAGCCTATCATCATGTAATAACACAAATAAACAGACAAAGTATGCGCCTGTCTAACTTCAATAAAACCTTTGTCTAGAATGTTGGCAAGGTTTTCAAATTTGTTTGTAAATTAGGCCTAAATGACCCTGTGTGGTTTACTGTGCTAGAAAAAAATGTCTGGAAAAGTATACTGGTTAAATGAGCTACACATGTGTGACATCACATGTGCATCAATAAGATATATCCAAAATTATTATGATAAATTAAAATTGAGCACTTTGTGATTAGGCCTAAATGATTCAATGTGTTTTCACTGTGCAGCAAACAACTGTCATCTGCAAAATAATTGTGCTGTGACATCACACTTGGATAGCAAAGGCCTGGACAACTGGGCAATGACGGTGCAATCTGTTGCCTGGCTTATCAAGACAACGTTTAAAATGTTTCATACCATGTACATGATGTGCTCTCGGACAATCATGGCAAATATTTCATGCTAGGGAGGAAAATAAAACCCTTAAGTCGATGAAAAGTATTTATGTGTTATGCAGTTTCAAAAACATTATATTATACTTTATATACTATCAACATTTCTAATATATGTTACCTTTAAAAATTATGCTGAATTACTATTAGTATTTTCACATTTTATGGTAACAAAACAATGTAGTGTAAGGTACATGTATGTTATTCACACATATTAATAAATAACATCTAACTCTAGTTCAAGATAAAACTCTGTGAATTTTTAGATATTAAAACTTTTCAGTCATCTATGAATGTTTTGGATTAAATTATCAAAAATATTTTCAAATGCAACTCAATGAGTCCTTATTTCATTTATACAAATCTACATTATTTTGTAAGTATTAGTTATAGAATAAACCCATAACTGTATGAGCATAAAGCCAAGAAACTTTAAAGAGATAACAGTCACAGATTAATAATCTGATTGTGATAAATAGATGTATCAGAAAACGTTTCTAATTATTATCAAACTCACCAAATAACTCTAAAGCAGCAACATTCTCAAGTTCAGCAGCACAGTCAAAAACATCATTAAGCATTTTAAAAGCTTCTTCATTTACTTTATTAATAGATGTTCCAGGAAGCACATCATGAAACTGAGTAAGGAGTAAAGTCTTCCAAATGTTTTCTAATTTCAAACTTGGATAATCTGTTTTTGGTTCTTTCTTTTCAGCCATCAAAATGCTGAGTAAAATCTCGGTTCTGCGAAGGGCAAATTCACATTTCCTATTCATAGACTTTATTACAGCTTGAGTGGTATATGTGGCATTATGCAATTCCAGGTACAAATCTCCAACCCAAAAGCAGAGGTTATTACTGGAATTTTCCAAGCAATCAAAGAAATTTTGAGGAGTTGACAACTGGACTCTGCTCAGAAAGATATAATTAGTAAAATAGTGCTTTACACCAGAAATGTGGATACATATTTTTCATTTATTTTTAAAACAAAACTAGTTCTTGTTGGTCATTATTATCCATATGCTTCAGTCAAGAGTAGTTAATACTGTTTAGAACTGATTAATAAAGCAAGCAAAGTGTAAATCTTACTTGTTTTACAACTACCAATCAAGTATCTACCTATGACAACACTGTAAAATTTAAAACTAATGGAAATGTGAGATTATTTGAAATTTTCAAGTCTATGTGCTTGATATAAACAATTTGTAATTACAAAGAAAATCACACAAAACTGTCTTAATTGACATTGATAATTTCTGGAATGACCATATTTATCAACATAACTGTAGACTGTGTGGCGAAATATGCATTAAAAAACTTAAAGACCACTATGTACCCATAAAATGAGCATATAAAAGCAATGAACAATCTGAAAAAGAAAAGTACCACAGTAGAACACTGCCTTTACTGTCACAGTATAACAGTTTAGCATACACACAATTTGTAGTTACACACACACACACAAATGTATATATATATATATATGTACACGTGTAAACAATAATAGAAACACACTAAAGCTATAAAAATCATAGACTGAACATCTGAAATGAGTATGAATAATTATAATAGTGTATTTACCTATAAAATTCCTTTGGCAGGAATCTCAAATTATAGTTTAATGGTATTCCCACACTTGAAATGTAAAACACAAAGCCACCTGATCACTGCAGTGAAAAGAGCTTTGCAAGTTTAGCAAGCAAAGGATTGATTATGTTTTAATTTGTTTTTAGCAAAATAAAGGAAATCAGATGTAAGTAGCAATAAACAAAACATCTTACTGGCAAATAAAGACATGACAAAAATCATGGTGGAAGAAAACAAAATTTATTAAGTGACAGAATGGAAAGTAAAAATGAAACACTTGACACAAACTAGACTAAAATGAGAATAAGGTAAAAATGCACATGCAGCTAGCTTACCATATAGGAATGGTGAACAAAAGATTCAAATGGAAAAGTACTTTCATGCAAGTCTTTTTTTCCTTTGAAACTCAAATCAAACCACTCTCACAGCTCACATTATATGGTCTCTATAACTTAACCAATGAAATGGAAATTCTGAGAATTTAGCAGGTTTGCCACCACAAATGATGATTGTATAGTAAAATCACTCCTGGAGGATGTTGGTTATCATTATGACTACTAAATGTGAGGTTAAATACAATTAGGATTGGTTCATGCTTAAGGCTAATCTCAGCAAATGAGTTAAAATTAATTTCCTGTTTCAGATCTAGCCTCCTTCATTGCCTGTCTTGCCTGGTCTGTCTGTGAAGACATCTGCATGCTGGCACAGTAGCTCTTGTAGATTATTCTACTGCTTGCCAGTCAGTTCTTCACTTATGTTGAAGTCTTTGTACGTCTCATCTCCACCCAGTGGTTTTTGGTCTAGTAGGTCTTCATCTTCTATAACAAAGTCACTGTTATCAGGTTCTGCCTTTTTGACAGTCACACCTGCCATGTCCATCTGTACCTCAATAGCTGTACCAGTTATTTCTTCTTCCATCTCAAAGTACCTCTTCAATACATTTGCATGATAGATCTTTGTCTTTCCATCCTCTTTCATCTTGTAGTTTATTCTGTTGATAACTTCCTGTACTTCAAAAGGTCCTTTCCACTGCAGGGAAATGTCCTTGAAATGTTAATCCTTGGCCTTTTTGTCATAAAAGCATTTCTGACTGCCTTTGATAAGTCTGGTACATTACACCTTTCCAGTCCTCTATTTTGTAAGTCTCTTTCCTCTTTGTCTTGTGCTCAACTTTCTCTCAGGCACTGTCACAAAGTTTCTGCAGTGACAAGTCTTTCTTCTGGGCTTCCTTCAGCTCCCAAGAACCTACATTCGGGATTTCATTTTTTGAGATTTTAAGCGACTTAATATCTTGCTTGCTTTTCTTCCCTTGAGCTCTTGTGGTGACTGCAGATGCCTCATCAGTCTCCTTTCTGTTTGGTTCCTCTAAATTTCTACTACATGGTATGTTTCCAATCACCAAGTCATAGATTGGTGCCTTCATACACATGGCTTCAAGGTCTCCCACTTAGTGTGGAGTATCCACCTTTATCTTTGCTATGGGAAACTTTCTCACTGTCCCATCAATCAGCACACACAGATGTATCTTGCCTGTCATCTGAACATCAGATACTAGACTGGTTCTCACTGCTGCACTACTGCAACCAGTGCCTCGTAGGACCTTCACTTTCTTGTTCCTGACATAGCCTTCGCCTATTGGCATGTCGTGATTTGTTGTCACCTCTTAATGTTTATCACATGCTCCAATCACTGCTGGTGCTTTTGACCTGTTTGCTAGCTTGAGCTGGCCATCAATCATGCACTGTTTAATCATGGAGATAGCAATTCCTTCTTGTGGTGAATCTGAGGAGTTGTCTTGATTTTGTTTCATTTAGCAGCAGCATCTTTGTAAGTAGCTTCAGCTGCTTTATGTTGACATTCCTACTGTTGCTTGTTTATGACAGATTTGCACTCATTTGCAGTGTATCCCATTTTATAACAAGTATAGCATCTCCCCTCACTTTTGTCCATTGAATTCTTGTCACCTTTGGTGGTATCCTGCTTCTGGTCAGCCACCACTGGTTTCGACTTTAAACTGGTTATTCTTGGACTTGCCAAATATACTCCCTCCATGAGCTTCCACATACTGTTGTGCCAGCTTGATCATCTTGTCCACATCTTTTGGTGCTCTCTCCTTTAGGAACAGTGACATATCAGCGATAATGATAATGTGATAATGAATTGTGCATTTATTAGTAGATCTGCCAGTCCTTCAAAACTATTTTCACACTTAGCCATGTTACTCCATTTCGTGAACTATTGCCATAGACATGTCACAAATGTAAATACAGTTTCTCCAGTGTCAGGTTTGACTTCTCTGAACTTCTGATGAAAATGTTCTTCTGCAAGTTCATAGCATTTCAGCAAGGCCACTTTTAACTTTTCATAGTCCATAACATCTTTTGACATCATGTCTGCATATACTTGTAGGCCTTTTCCTGTGAGAAGTGGGCTGAGACAGACTGCCCAGTCACGTTTGTCCCAGTTATGACCTTTACCCCATTGTCATTCTTGGGTCCTTCATCTTTCTATTGGGTGAGTATGGCAATCTCAATTTGTGCTTTATTCTCTCTATTTCCAGTCTATTTTCTCTCTCTCCTTTTCTTATTTCAGTCTTTCTCTTTCCTTTTCTTCTTTTAGTCTTCTTTGTCTCTGCTCCTCTCTATTCTGTTGCCACTCTTCTCTCTCTAGTTCTTGTTGTTGCTGAACAAATACTCAATAGTTCACCATCTTTGACCCCAAGACGGTCCCCTTTTTCTATCCATTTACCAAAATCTGTTGACATGTTTATATAGTGTGATTGTAAACTTCAATATTTTCACCAACACTACAGTTGTGAACATATAAGCCTACTTCTGCTGTCATTCACATCTTCTTCTACCTCCATTTATCACTGTATAATCCTGGCTCAGTTGCCAATGTCAGTTTTTGTGGAGGGCCAAATTCTTTACAGTTGTTGGTCATAAATTCAAACATTAAACGAATAGCACACAATCCACTTGTTTTAAAATAATACATTGAAAACAAGTCAAGTATATGTACAAAAATTCGTAGCACTATTGGTTATCACAGTTGTATGCAGAGCTTTAAATACCTGTCTCCTTTTCATCGAAGTCCACACAGGCTGGTTCAATTAATTTAGAACACCCTTTGACAAGACAAGTTGTTATTGACAAGTTGTTGTTAGAATACTACTGTGAAACTCACTCTAGATATTGCCTCCTATAGCAAACTAACAATCACACTTTCTTTAACTTAATTTTCAATAACTTACTTTAATTTCTTACTTATCTAGCAATATCTAGCCCTCTAGTGACAACAATATTCACATAATGAAAAAAACTTAGAAGCTTCGAGTAAGATAACATCAACAATATTACAAAAGCCTAGTACAACAATGAAACTGTATACACAATGTACAACTCGGACAGAGTTATGTAACGAAACTTGTCATAACTATCACTTTTAAAATAATCAATTATTACACTCTTGTTATGAAAACCAAATGATCATTAAATATTAAATCACTAAATAATAACTCTTAAACTAAACAGTCTTGTATATTCAACAAGTGCAAAATAATGTTTTTTGTGAGAGAGTAAAACTATGTCAATTTATATAATTTCCATATACGAGATATTAAGTTGAAATGACAGTTAAAGTTTCCCCAAGTAAAAGCAGATCATACAGCGACAAAAAACATGGTGAATAAATGACTACCAAAACTGACTTAAACTGCTTCAGAGGTGTAGATATGGCCTGGGCCATGGAACAAGCAGTGAACATAGCACAGAAGCTCAATTTGTAACTTCTGTCAATCATATGAATGATTAGAGATATGGGAGGGAGTATTTAACAGTCATCGTCAAGCCCAAAGGAATAGTGGTAGTGTTATGAAACAACTAGTATTCCCAAGGGCTCTGAAATGGATGATTCTGGTAACGTCACATGATAAAAGATATGCATGGATAGTGTGGAATCTTCTCTGAAGCAGAAAAAGGAAATTAATACATATCGGTCATAGCCAATTACTTTACAAAATAGATTTAGCAATATCCAACACACTAACAATTCAATGCAGTCTGTGATTTATAAATTTGCTGAGGTCTATACATTTCCAAAAATTAATTTTAATATTTCACTGTTTACAGAATATGTCAGATTTTATGTGTGGTAAAGACTCATACTTTGTCTTATTAACTTTAGCCCAGTGGTGTGGATAGGTAGGCCATACAAACTGTAAAACATATGCTTGCAATGTTTGTGAGCTCCAAGTAATTTGTCTCTTTATGGAATTATCATGCAAAGCTACTCTAGGACTATCTGTGCTAGTTGTCCTTGATACAGATTAGAGGGAAGGCAACTAGTCAACACTATCCATAGCCAACTCATTGGGTACTCTGATCAAACAGTGAGATTTAGCCTTTGCTCTTATAATGTTTAAAGCAATATGAAGAGGGGTTAAAAACCACTAAAGCTGATGCATGGAAGTTTGCACAACAATAAATGTGGAAGGCAGCTGTATGAAGAAGCAAAACATCTGTATCTTTAGCTGCTACAACAGTGGTAGTTATGTCTGATTCCTCATGACAATGAATAACATGCAGAAAAATTCTGGTGTCAGCCTTTTCATGAGTAGTTTGCAAATTAGTCAAATCTAAATAGGCTAACTCAAACATTTTATTGCTTACAAAATTATATATCAGCAAAGATGATATTTTTGAATTGTTATCATAATGGAACATACAGGGCAACCAATCACTTGGAGCAAGCACTGTCCTTGTATTTCTAGATTTTGTGGTATTAAAGGGTTTTTCATAATCACAACTAGAGTTGACCAATCTGCTTGCAGATGATGTACTAGACAAATCTTTTTTTGAGTCTTTGAGTAAAAGTCTTATTTCTCAATTTAGAGAAACTTTCTATTAAACAAAACTGCTTCAAAAATTTTAGTATCTTACAAATACTGTCTTCTTTTGGCTACATCCTTCAAAAACGTTATTCCTTTAAGAGACTTTCTTCTTTTCTTTCACATACAATACATAGATGAAAACCAACAGGTAACTTTCTTTTAACATTTGTTTCCATTCTGCCTGTCAAAGGATTATCAAAGTAGAGAGGTATGACAACTGTAAACATATTAAGTGACCTTTCAACAATCAGTTTTGAGAGTAACAGTTCTTGCAGACAATAATATTCTACACTGACTGAATTTATTCTTATGCAAATAAAAGACATATTCTTCAGTTTTGTTGCCTTTTTCATAGCTTTCGTGAATAACTCTAAATAAATAATAAATATATACATGTATCTTTTACTTCTCCTAGAATGAGCATTTATTCCAATCTATGTTGTATTTTTTCACAGTATTTATTTTTCTTAAAGAACATCTAAAGCTAAGCTAAGAAATTGTAACTATTCTTGCATGTATTAGGTAGTATTGTTTCCCATAGGTTAAAAAACTGTTAGCATACATGTTGACTGGATAATGTTTATATGAAATAAAATGAATTTTATATCGAAATTTAAAATGTAAAAAAAGAGGCCATACAAAAAGTTCCCTCACCTTAAAACTTTATTTTAAATGAAATAATTATAAAGGTGAAAACTTGACTATAAATTTATTTGAAATAAAGTAAATTTTATATAAAAATTATAAATATAAAAAAAGAGGCCAGAAAGGACAAATTTTCCAGAACGAAAATATTGATTTACTAATTGAGCACATTCAAAATAAGTTAAAATACTCTGTTGTCACAGATTACATAAAAATGGCAATATCACTTCACACAGGCCTCTTTTTTAAAAGTTAGAACCAACTATCAAGAAGATTCAAATATTTCAACAAATCATATATAAAAACTGTTACAAGTATAATTTTGCATTATGTAAAAGTAATGATCACAAATTTTTATAAACGTCTTCTACTTGTCAAATAGTCCAAAACACACTGCTCAGTAACATACATTTTTATACAAAATCAAGAATTTGAAAAAGAAGCATGTGGTGGAAAGAAGGTTTGAAACTATTCTGGAGAAGAATATGTTTCAAAAAATTCAGTGAATTGTTTTAGTTTTCAGCATTGACATGAAATAAATAAATACTTTTTATTTGAAGATTAATAGGCTTAGATACATGAAAATGTTACAGAATCCAACTCTTCATATTACTAACAAAGACAAAAATCACTTACCTTAACTACAAATTATACATTCTTATTCCCATAATTTAACTATCATGTTAAGTGCAAAGCAGCAGTAAATGTAGTCTTCAAACCAATATAAAATGAATTTTCCAAGTTAATTTACATTTTTGTTTAATATTGACTTTGAAGCTTCAATAGAACATACTAAACCTTTAATAAAAACTCAAATCAAATTAATTAAAAGAAAATATCTTCAATACATGATCTATAGAACCCAAACAGTTTAAAATTATTCTACATACAGCACCACTCTTTGACTACAAACTAAACAAACAAAAGTGCTATTTACAAGTGCTGTATCCAATAACTTATGTGCTTGTGATAAGGTTACAGCAGGTATGTACACACTACAAAAACTTGGTCTCATTGATCATATCTGTTGTTATCAATAAGTCCAGCTTTACTAAGGTGAAAATACGTAACTCAAATTTCTAACAGTGCTATAAAACTCTGGAAAAAAATATTCTAAATTCATCATTGAAAAATTACATGTTTTTCAAAACATTTTCCCCTGTATTTTTATCTATGCAAAACCAAAAGAATGCATTTGAATAAGTACCTATTCATCAGCAACTATAAAACAGTACCTTGGAACTCCATCCACGTTAACAAGTCGTTTCTGCCGTTCCAACATATCTAGAGTTGGTCCACCGCCTCCATCTCCATAGCCAAACAACATCAAGCTACAAGAGACACGGCCTTTGTCTTGAAGGTTTTGAAAAGTCTTTATAGCCTATGAAAACACAATGTAACAAAAGTTCAGAATTCTTTATATTTTATCAGCACACACAAATGTACAATGACTGAAGACAAAGTGTGAGGTCTACAATTAAAGTGGTATGATAACAGTTTTTTAACCTATGGGAAACAATACTACCTAATACATGCAAGAATAGTTACAATTTCTTAGCTTAGCTTTAAATGTTCTTTCACAAGAAAAATAAATACTGTGAAAAAATACAACATAGATTGGAATGAATGCTCATTCTAGGAGAGGTAAAAGATACATACCTGCAAAGTAAGAAGTGGTACTGAGACGTATATACCTGAAATGTATTTTCAGGTAATAAAAAATTTAACTTCAGAAACATATACTCACCTCTCTGCACAACAAAGGTAGAATCCGATATTACTATGATAATGGAGATGCTGGTGGAGATAAAGAAATTACAAAGATGAGCACCTTTCTAAACATAGCATCAGAAATGGAAAACCCAAGCAGCATGTCACCCATGAAGGTGTAATCTAGTGGGGGCAAGGAGTATGTTTCACCAGATAAAGTTAACAAAGTAAAATATATTGTAAAAATAACCTTCTGCATGGTGCTAAGGTGTCACAAGAGCAAAGGTGGACAAAATGTAAGATTGTTCAAATGTCCATTATTTCTTAGGCAATCAGCTGAATATTAGTGTGTAGTATGGCTAGGGCAATAAATCAGGTCATACTTTATTGGAAAAATACTTACATGAGATACTTACTAGCATAATCAGATGCAGAGAAAAAATATTCTAGACCTGCATCTTGAAAAGAATGCAAAAACCATCTAACTGGTATAACCACCTGAAATGGCTTAGTTCATAGTGAAATGGGCTGCACTACACTTCCAGGTAACATTACAGCCCTATTTCCCATTGAGGGGGTGCATCCACTCAGTCTCATACTAATGTGATTACATTGAACCAATGGGTAACTAACTCTTCATATCAATCTCCCCAGTGACTTGGAACTAGTTAAGCAAGGTTTCTTTCTTTATTCCACTCACAGAAAGGAATGGAATATGTAGGGGGGAAATGCCAGAGAGTTGTTTGAACTGAACAGGAATTATCATATTTGCATAAGGTTCCAAACTGACAGCCTGTGCAATGGAGAGAGAAGTATTCTTGTGAGGCATCATGGCCACTTCATGTGTTCCACTGTCTCCATAATATAGGTATATACAATGGTGTTAAGTCCTGGAGAAAAAAAGAAAAATAAACAACTCCCCTTAGAGAGGCTCTGCAAAGAGTGGAAAATGGCACCTAATAGGAGATGAAACCCAGGATATATGAGATCACAATGTGGTATAAGTCATGCAACACTAATCTGTCAAGGGTTGTCTACATCCCAACCTGCAAGATCACACACAGGATATGTCAACTGATAGAGGCAAAAGAAACTGTGATATAATATACTTGATGGGAGGAGGCATGAAAAATAAGAAAAGTCATCCCCATAAAAAAAATAAACTAGCAAGATTAAGTGTATAAACCAACTGGTCAAAGTGGAAGCAGCTAAGTTATTATAAGATGAATCTCATGGCATGAAAAAGACATATTCAGTTGCCCTCAAAAGAGGCAGTTTGAGTGAGATAACAATGAAAGTTCATACGGGACAAAGAAGATAAGGTGGATCAGATTGATCATACTGGGAAGAAATGAAAGAGAGGTGGAATGGAGAAAACATCTAATAACCCTCCAAAACAGCTCAATTTTGGGGGAGGAAGGAGCATTCAGGGAAGAAGATTAACCTGTCTCCTTGATAAACAGTGCAGGAGGCATCCAAGGTAAAAGGTTGAGAATTATGGCTTTGCAAGAGAGAAGGAAAAATATTTCTGAAATATATAGAAAGAGATTGAACCATTCATGACACAGAGCTTCCTCTGAAGAAGTTGTACTATGAGATTCGAGACCGAAAAAGAGAGGAAGCAAGTTGATGGAGGAAATCAGAAAAGGTGGTGATAATAGGACTCTCATAGAAGAAGAAAATCCATTGAAAATACCGGAAGAAATAAGACACCAACAACTAAATGTGGTGATTTTTGAGCTAAAAAATAAGGTTTAGAGCAAGGAAAAAGGAGAGGTTTTGGGAGCAAGTACCTCCCTCTAGCTGGATGGAAAAAATGACAGAGGTTTCTGAATGGATCATGATAAGAAGACCAGAAAAATGAGACAGAAGATGATGGTAAGTTTGCTAAGCAACCAACATCTTGTGAATAGAGAAACTACTCCTCTGGAAATCACACTCCAAAAATGAATCAGATGTCCAAAACTGCATCCCACCTGAACAGGCACTGGTTTACAGATTTTGTCTGTAGGTGTGATTGTCATTAAGCACAAAGCTATGCAATGTGCTGTTTATGCTGCACTCACCACAGATATGAAAATTGCATATGTGAGCATTGTAACCACTCAGACTTACTGCTGAGCACTAGAGGGCTCTCAACAAGATGCAAATCCAGGTGAGGAGGGGGGATGTCTAAGGACATGTGGGATCAAGTGTGACACCACGACAGCAAGAGGTAAAAAAATGACAATGGATCTCTGAATATACTTACATTGATTGGCCAACAGGAACAAGGAATTCAAGAGCAAGCAATTCCCCAAAAGAGAAAAATTAACTGAAGGAAGTGGAAGGCAGGCAGACAAATCTGAAACCCCAATCTGGGTTATCCACATCCCAGGAGAGTACTCACTGTAGAGTAAGAAAATCATCCATCTTTGACAAAGGAAAGATCAAAGTCAGTTCAAATGAGACAGATTTATTTCAGGATGCCAGCCTCCTGTCTTGTGAGAATGTCAGAAAAAGAAGGTAGCATACCTCATAGTGGGGTCAAGGAA